AAAACGCATTTACAGAATTCGCTTTTATAATTAAAAAATTTATTTAATTTTTTTTTATTATAAAACGTATTCATATTACACGGTTTCAACTAAAACGTATTCCTGTTTTTCGTTTTAACTTAATTTAATTATGTTAATTATGTTTTTTTCTTAATACGTATTATAATAATACGTTTTTTCTATGTGAACGTATTTTACGAATACGTTTTATAAATAAAAGCATTTGAAAACGTATTGTCGGAATACGTGGGTTTGATTTTTTTCCACTCCTTTTTTTTTGTTTTTGTTTTTGTCCAGTTTTTTTTTTTTATTTTTAAAGAAATCAAAAATTCGTTTATTATGAGTTAATTGATGAAGAAAAAAAATAGTTGATAGTTCTACAACAATAAACAAATAAATTAATTTTATATTCTTATTTTTTAAATCATAAACGAATAAATGTACACTAAATAATTAAGAACTAAGAAAAATGTTACTATTTCACATACAACTCTTGTTTTACATTCAAATCGGGTAACAGTCGTAAACTACATGTAATTCAATTTATTTATAGTTCTTATCTTAATTATATTCTTTCTTATCTATTAATCTGTCTTATTAGATGATCTAATCGAGTGACCAATTTGGCTTTTTTCTGGGTAGATTGTCTTTCATGGTTAGCTCGTGCATTATGTCTCGCTAGTCGATCATTGACTTGCGTGCTTTTAAGTCGAGTTTCTACCAGGAGGACCTTTAACTCGACTTGTCAGTGATCTTTTTTTATTTGCGACGTCCTTGTCGACTTGAAGATTCATCGATCTATAGTTCATTCGATCTAAGATCGATCTTCCAGTTCGATTAGTTGATTTTTCGAGTCAAGTATACCTAATATTGTATCTCATATCACAACTAATACTCAAAACAATGGTATAGGTGGACTCGTAATTCACATCAAAAGTTCGATATGCCAAAAAAAAAAAAAAGAATAAAAGAAAAAAACATATTTTAATTTTCCATATATACCATACAATAATTAAAATACCTTCATGTGTTAAACTTTGGTTTTATACTGGTAAAAAGGCTTGAGTGTTGCCCAAATACAGGCATTACCATAGAAAAATTAGAAAACCGTCGCCATAGAAGTCTCCAGCTGACCTCTGCCTTGAGAAGCATGGATTCCTTACAGGCGGCAGCCGGCGGCAACAGCATCATGACCTCACAGTCAACTGACCAATCGCCGATGGATTCCTCGGCCACCACCGCCGGTGCCCCAATCGACGATCCCAAGCAGAACTTGACTCAGGTTATAAATTCGATCCAGAAAACTCTCGGCATCCTTCACCAGCTGTACCTAACCGTATCCTCGTACAACGTGGCCGCCCAACTCCCCCTTCTGCAGCGCATGTAACCAATTTTCCAGATTGATGGCTCTTTATATTTTTGGTGAATTATGCTCTTGCTTCGTGTTTAGGGTTTGAACTTTTCACTATTTTATTCGTTTTTCTACTTATTGCTTGGTAATGGAGAATTTCCACTTCCAATTACGTAGAGAAGTAGCAACCCTACAAATCCGACTGTTGTTTTCGATGATTTTGATTGCATCTGTTCATTTTTTCTTGCCGTGGATTGTTCTTTGATTAGGTCTTCCTGTTTGGATATAGGAATAACTTGGTACTTGAGTTGGATAATATGACAAGATTAGCGGAGAAGTGTAATATACAGGTTCCGATGGAGGTTCTTAAGTAAGTGTTCTCTTGAAGGTAGAAGCTATAAATGCTACTTAATCATGTAATTTTGTGAAAACTGTGCCACCCGTATATTATTCGTGTATATATGATCTGGGGTGCAGTTTGATTGATGATGGGAAGAACCCTGATGAATTTACACGGGATATGTTGAATGGTTGTATTGCAAAGAATCAGATCACAAAGGGGAAAACAGATACCTTCAAGGTCTGTGTTTTCTTTGTGAATGAACGTCTAATTTCTTTAAACTACATTTTCTCCTTTTTATATTTACGATTATGATACTCAATTTGCTTTCGTGACATATATTATGTATGAAAACCAACTGTATGTACACGAATCAATGAATTGATCTGATTCTTCTATGTCTACTTTATTTGAATGTATATGGTCATTTGATTACCCTGATTTCCGCAAAGAGTTCCTTTATATTTTGCATTTCATAAATTTAACATGAGATCGACTTACTGGTTTTATTTGAGTTGGTTGATTTTTATCATTTTATGCTTCTTATTTCTTGCAGAGCTTGCGCAAACATCTTCTTGAAGAACTGGAGCAAGCGTTTCCTGATGAAGTTGATGCTTATAGAGAGATTCGTGCAGCATCTGCAGCTGTGAGTTGTATTGGCATTTTATTGAGTATTTATGTTGGAAGATCATTGCCCTTGCATCTGTGTGCCTCATCTTTTCAATATTTTGATGGAATGTATTTATATTGTGCATGCGTTATCATGATATATTATCACAGATCTCTAGGTCAATTAAGTCGCTTCATCAGATGACTTTGTATGGAGAATTTTGTTTTTGTACTTGATCTGAAGGCATGAACATAACGGGCTTATGATTCTTGAAAACTCAGAGCTATACTCGAAACTTGTAAAAGTTCAACCCATATGACCGACTCTCTTGACGAATACCATGTACTCGGGCGTCTTGTTTTAACATAGGCACCAGGAGGTAATGGCACATGATTGGCTGCTGCAGAACTTAGAAAATTTTCTCTGTCATGTTCAACCAATCTCTGATAGACGTAAAAGGAATGCTCTCCAGTAAATTGTATACATGCCATAATTCAGTGGGAAAAATAACATTCTGAAGGGGATGGATATAAGACTATGAAGGATCAAAAGAATATTGAAGGAAGAGTCTTTTAATCGGCAAACTAGTTTATAAAATGGAAAAAAGAGTAAATGACTTTTTCAGATTACTAATGTGTTGCAAATGTGAGATAGATTGCATGAGAAAACATTTTATGGTAGAAATGCACTATAGGCATCAACCTTGAGAATGCTTGGTCATATGCATAAATTCTGGAGTGATAGCATAATATAGTTGAAGAAAAGTAAAAAACCTGATAAATTGATATGGTCCGGACAATCATTGCTCGAAGCTTTCTTTGCAAGACCATGCACATTTGAGGTTGTCTTTTTGGCTTCTGATACATTTATTATTGAAAAAGTCACCGAGAGCCATTTCAGTAATGCGTTAAACTGATAAACACTAATGATTTTATGGGTTAGGGGGTATTCTACTTTGTATGAGCCTTTGCCATCTTCCAGAGTGTGTATTATATGTTGTATATGGTCTTCTAATATTGAACACGTGTTACATCAGACTGGAGCTTTTATGTAAAACTCCTCCAAATGATGGTTTGAAATTAAATTTTGAGCGCGGCTTTTACATAATATTATGTTTTTTCTGAATGTTATTATGGGATTTTATTTACATCTTGCCAAAATCTCTTTAAGGTGTGGGCCAAGGAGGAAAAGTAACTATACATATCATTCAGTATATCATTCAGTTTATGAGCTCAGCTAGCATTCGGTTTATCCTTTCTTGATTATTAATCCAGCTAGAAGAAAAGGCATCAATCTTTGTACTTATGAGCTCTGAATTTTTTTATTTTATTTTATTTTATTTTTTGTAATTTTTGCAGGAGACCAAACGTTTGGCACAATCACAAAGTGGTCTCCCGAACGGAGAGATGAAAGTAAAGAGTGAGATGTGAGAGAGATTGGGTGTCCAAAGCATAAACAACGCATTTTCAGTTTTACTAGTTCTTCTGTATTGGCTTGTGAATGTGACATGCATTTCTTAAAGTTATGTGTGTAGAAATTTGCGAGATATTAATGTATTTTGTATGATCAATTGTGAGACTTGCCTTTTATTGGTCATAGCAAGCAACTTGCTAATATGGAACAAGAGGAATCAGACTTGAAGTACAGTGGTAAAAGGCATTTTTTATTTTTTTTTATTATTTTATTTATTTATTTATTTTGTGTGTGATCAGTTAGAGCTATTAGCTGAAGCTTGTGAAAGCTGGAGCTCGACTTATTCTTTTTTATTTAAATGAGTTAATTGAGGTTATTTATTAATCTGGCAGAGTCAAACTTGTTCACAAACATCTGATTTTTTTTTTCTTTTTTTATTATTTTAAATGAAACAAACGAACGAAACTTGTTCTAAATTCCATTTAGGATTAGGAATAGGCGGAATTGGGCCTGCTTTTCCACATCTCTCGTTATTTTTGAGACCCTATTCACCTCTTTCTTTGAGCTTCTATTGAATCGAGAAAGAAAATAGACTTGATTGACCATCTTTTTTATGTAATTTACGAATGAAAACTAAACAAAGATTGAAAAATCATGAGACAAAAGTGGCAGTCTTGTATCAGACTGGTTGTCTTCTTGTAGTTGGATCCCCAAGTTTTTGGTTATATCATTATTTAATTTGTTTAGAGTTTTAGGTTTATTAAATGAGGCAAATGTGTTGAGTTGAGCTTAAGAACTTTTCGTTTGTTTATTAAACGAGCTAAGTTGACATTTATAAAATTGTTTGTGTTATTAAATGGTGGAATACATTCAAGATCACTCATCAGCAAATTCTCAATCATTTTCAAGAAGAAAAACTATTAAGTCAACACTAGTCTTCATCTCTGCTCTAGTACGGACTACTCCACTTTAGAGTAGATTCAAACATTCATCTTCAGTTTTTATCTCTACATTTTACTCTACATTAAATATATTATTTTTTATTTTCATTTCAAATATATTATATGATATATATATATATATATATATATATATATATATATATATATATTTATATACATTTTGTTACCCAAATAATAAAAATATTTCCATGTGTAACGACACGAGACTACTTAAATTCAAACAATAAGAATATAAATTATATAATAATACAAATCGACTTGTTTCATTGTAGTAAATTTATTGACTTGTTTCATTGTAGTAAATTTATTCACGTGGTACTATAAAATTTACAAAAAGTAAATTAAAATACATCTATAGATAAAACCAAAAAATTATTTAACATAGGAATACAAATTATATAATAATATACAAATCTAATTGTTTTATCGCGGTAAATTTTTATTCATGTGGTAGTATTAAAATTTACAAAAAATAATTAAAATACATCTATAAATAAAACCATCAAATTATTTGACATTAAATATATTTACAAATACATATAATGCAATAAAATATCAATAATATTCAAAAAAAAAGGACAAAATGTGCAGCGCGGAACTAGAGTGCATTGCTACATGTGGCGATGCACTGTTCATATATGTATAATAGCGCAGAATTACAGTGCAGCATTGGAGAATAAATCGGCACACAACTCTAGCGAAATCAAGAATGTGGCGCAGCGTTGGAGATACTCTTAGTCTGAACACCACAAAAAGGGGAAAATCATTCAAGTAGCAAGGATCCAATTTTTTTTTTTTTTTTTTTTTTTTTTTTTTACACACACACATGAGGATTAATACTGGTTCCTCAATTCCCCTCCCAGTGACTCGAACTCGGGATCTGGGATACGCCGAGCGAGGTATGCGCCACTGCGCTAAACCCTCTTCGTCTAGCAAGGATCAATTTAACACATTGAACAATTAAACACAATTCAAAGTATGAAGAATACCAAGAAATTTTTCAATCCAACTATCCAAGACAAATAGACAATGAAGGGGGGAAATTCGAAGTGATAAAAGTTCAGGCAAAGGGTCATCTACCGACCCATTTGGTGGCCATTATTTGGGCCAATTGATATGTTAAAAAATATGTGTGTGTAAATTAATAATTGAAAAGAAACATCAATAATTTGAAGATAAGAAGACAAATTGAAGTGAAAGACAAAAAAAAATTCAAGTGGAAGATAATGCTACTATAGTTAAACAACATTCACGTGAAAAAAAATTCGAATCAAATTCAAATGAAATGGATATGTTAGAAATGTAAGAAATTTTGTTCAAATAAATGGGATAATTTAATTCATTCAAGACAAACGAAGTTTGCTAGATATTAAACAAAATTTTATTTTATTATTATTATTATTATTTTTATTTTTTATTTTTTATTTTTTTATTTTTGGTAATCAGAGGCATTCCCAATTTCAACTTGTATCAAAATCATTCCCCTCAAATAATTTCATTTCAAGTAAGTTTTCTTGAATCTATTTTATGACTTTAGAATTCCTAGGTTTAGCAAGAATAATTAGTGCTGTTAAATTAAATGATCGAGTCTGGCTCGGCTCGAGTTCGGTTCGTTAAGACTCGAACTCGTGGCAGAGCTTAAATTTTTGCTCGTTTATTTAACGAACCGAGTTTACAGTTCTAGGCGAGATCTTTTCGTGAAAACGAGTTATTGGATTATATGATTTTTTTTTTTTTAATACTGTTTTTCCTTGTAGTTTAGCATGTGAAAGGAGAAGCCGGATTTTTGGACTATAGCTATAGGAATTTTTTTAACAAACCATAATGTGACTAAAGTCTATTCAAACACTTTCGCAGCAAAATAGGTAGAAACTGACAAAAAGATATAATAAATTAGTTGAACCTACCAAGAGCTTGGATGAGATGGCTTGGGTCTCTTCCAGTTTAACCAGTGGTCTCGTGTTCGAGCCTTGGGAATGCAGCAGTGTTAAAACTTTTGAGGGAGAGCTTTGCCGCCCTTGTGGTCCTACCCGGCTCGATTCCGGATTAGTCGGTTCCCCTGTGGATCTGGAAACCGAAAGGTCCCTGTACCAAAAAAAAAAATTAGTTGAACCTAACGCATTAAAAGAATTATAATTAATTGGTACAATGAATGAGTGATGTGTAGGAAGATAGCGACGAATCCAAGATGTCGGACAAAAGCTAATGTACCATTACGAAATTTGAAAGAAAATGCATCTTCATATTACATGGAAATGGTTTTCCTAAAAACTTTTTTATTGATTTATCTTACTTTTTATAACTAAAGTTTAATTTAGTTTAATAATATAAATTTAAAATGAAAATTAATTATTAATAAGTAATCCAATAAATATTTTACAATACCTCACATGTAAATAGTCAGACTTTTTCAGTATTTTTTAAATTTTTTAAAAAAAAACAATCAATTAATCAAACATATCACATTTTACTGCTGTCGATGGATCAACTTTCTTTCTATTCGTCAGAATAAGTTTCTTTTAATAAAGTACAATTGGATACTAAATTTAACTCAAAATCGTATTCAAATCTAATTCAATTTAACTCTCTTTATTATTCTTATTATGTTAAATAGTATTAATCAATTATTGATACACAATTCCAACAATCATTTATTTTACTAATTTTATGTAACATCACTTACAGTTTTTTCTTTTTCCAACGACAAACAAGCAAATGCTATTTGTTGGTATGGCTCATATATTGACAAAGGAAGAGGGCAGGCTGATGCCTACGAGCGTAACGGAGCGAACATAGCGAGGAAGCGGAGCGACCGAGCGAAGTGAGAATAATAAAGATCCCTCAGCTGCCGTGGACGTAGGCACATTGCCGAACCACGTAAATCTTGTGTTGTTTACTTTTCTCGTTTTTTTTAATTCGTGTGCCATATTGTCATCTTCTCTCAACACTATTAAACTCAAACAAAAGTACATAGAGTATCTAAATAGACACAAAGACTAATCGTCCCAACACAAAGGGAGAAGTGAAAAGAAAAATGAAATTACATACAATTCCCTTCAAAAACTAAACAAAGAACAAAGATATAGGAGTTATATAACTTGATTGCCTTCTTGTGATGTGTGCAACCTCCAAGTGTTAAGGATGTCCACAAAAACCTTGCAAGCCCGTCCTTTGCTGAATTAAACACTAGCCAGCCATCCAAAGCACATTGAACTACTCCCTTCATCGCTTGTTGATTGAGGGCATCTTGAGAATTGCTTGAACAATCATTGGATCAAAAGATCGAAGAACCAACTCCCTATCCCATCTTCTACCAGAATCGTGACATTGAAGATCACAAACTATTCTTAACATATCCCTATCCGATACAAGTGATGATCGCATTATCTAGGATCTGTCTACTTGGGACAAAAGCAGATTGAGCAGCAGGAATGAAAAACACTTTTCAGTTTTCAGCCTATTAACAAGGATTTTAGCTATCAATTTGTAGATGACAGGGCAAACTTATGATACAATTGGTATCATGACATGCCTCAAACTCAAAATCAAATTAAAAATTTTCATGCAATTAAATTTTTTCAATCTAATATATCCCTTTATGTAATAAATTCAATTAAATAAATTAAAAAAAAAAAAAATTGGATAGAACCTGAACAAGTTAAAACCAATCCAGATTGTGACTTGTTATTTTTTGTCAGCACATTAAACAAGTAGGCTGTAGCATGCAATTAATAAAAATGGAGGAACGTGAACTTTGAATTTTCCAACACGCAGAGTAGGAAATCTTGCGCTGCAATCTAAAGATTTTTTGC